AGCAAGGTAGCAGCGGCCTTTTCAGCAGCATCCACAGGAATGAAGATCAAAATGGTCTGGAATGAACTTGGTTGGCTTCATGGAATGGGGCAGGTTGGCAATGAAAAAGAGGCAAAGAATATGCCTGCCTTCTTGGCTTGGCCAGAGCAGTGTCAGTTTCATTCACTGGCAAACAGAACACGGAAGAGCAGCTTTTAGGGGATGATTATGGGTTTGCTGGAATCCTGCTGAATCTGAGGTGTTTATGTACACCAAGTGGACATGTCCAGAAGACAGATGGGTGGCGGCTAATCAGAAGGAGGCGCAATCCTATTAAATGGGGTAGTGACTCTTTAAAGCAGCTGCTCAGTATAGAACTGATAAAATGCCCAGTGTCTTGGATTTGACTTGCAAACAGACTACTTAGTACTTCTGGCTCCATCACTATAAACTATTACTTATATTTCATGCCACTGACTATGAAGGCAACAGGCTGTTACTATTTAAAGAGAAAAATCTCAGTTACTTCCTCAGAGGAAGAAATCAGAAAATGAAAAAATGAAATTGTTTTATGCAATACTTTGTGGCCCACAATTTATTTTTAAAATTGGCACAGTGATCTAGAAACACAAATTGATAAGTATCATGTTACATAGGCTAAAGTGTTGTTACTGGCAGAATCTCTACTTGTTCAGGAGCTTGCTCAGTCCGCGCCAGGTGGAGCAGGGGGCAGTTCACACTCTGACCCTAGCTGGGGACTTCAATTCTGACCAGACTGCAGAGAAGCATCTTTTCTGTGGCCAAGAAAGGCATGGTTAGTGTGAAACATGTAAGCCAGGCTAAATACTAGCATCTCTGACATAAAACAAAAAGGGCATTTTTAACAATACCTCTTATAAATTTGAAAATACCTATTTTAATTGAAGAGAAAGAGGCTGTAGCATAATTTCTTCGAGTCATTAATTATCTAGTTACAAATCTCATCTATATAGCCTTATCTAGGAGATGCACATATTTCTCCATTTTCTCTTATTAAGAAATAAAATATTTAAATCAAACGATTACCTTGCTTTATCTTTTCTTCAGGAGACATGGTCAACTCATTGTATCTTTTATTGGCCATATTTTATACTATGGTTCCCAACTGATGGTTCAAAAATCTGCCCGAAATTATGAATTATGTGCAGAACTTTGCATATAAGTGAATCTAGGCATTTTTCTGGGAGGAGGGTCTAGAATCACCAGATTCTTAAAATAGCTCACACTCAGAATAAGATCACTACCTTATACCTACACTTCACTATGGTTCTCCTACAGTGTATATCATAAGTTATGTATGACAGGTTTCATATTCTCTTAAGGATGTCTACTTTCATTGGACTGTATCTGGAAAAAACCTCAAAAGATAACAAGTTCACTCACTTGCCTTAAAGCAAAATACCTCCAAAATTATCCAAGTCACATAAAAGCTGAAAGTCTGTTTATTTTTCCCTATGGGAAAGCAATTCCAGCACCTCATTCAGCCTATTACATTTTTTAACAACCACTGTAAAATTTATCTTTGGTCTTTCGGTCCTCAATAGCCTTATTACTATTTGTCTTCCCTTATACACCACTATAAATGTGTGTTCATCTTTTCCAGAGAAGATACATTGCAATGGTCTTACCACCAGCTATTTTTAAACCTAATGACTCTAGTGATAAACGTGTATGTACACAATCCAGCTCACATATGTTAGGCAGACGTCTAGCCAATATACTAGAACGGAAGTGTGATCAAGTTACAGTGACAGGAGTTCAGCATCCCAGAGAGCTGGGAAAAGTCTCTCCCATGACCCAATGCAGGACAAGGAGGCTGTCCTGCTGTTTCTGGAGGCTGCGCTGCCAGTCAGAAGCGTGGGTGTGATGGCATCTGACTTAGCCAAGGACCCAGAAAGTCGCTCCAGCCACCTCAGCTCTAGCTCACCCTGTGAGCCTGGCCCCACTGCCCGCAACAACAGGGGCTGTGTGCTCCAGGCTCCCCACGCGCACTGGCAGCCCCATCACGTGGCTTGCTTTCCTCTCGTGTGGGTCTGCCTCCTGTGGCCCTCTCTGTACAAACACTGGGCACCCCAGTCTCCCACTGACAGTGGCCCCCTGCCTCCCTCGTGTGCCTGCCCACTGGCCAAGGAATCACCTGTAGTCTGAAGGGCTGTCTCCTGCTTTAGCAGGGATGGTGGGCTAGCTCTGGCCTGGCCTCAGCAAACTTGTCCCCCGTCCTGTGGGCTGCAGTCACACCTTCTCCAGCAAGGTCTGAGCCACAGCCTTGGGGAATGAGTCCCTGAGAAGTCTGTCCTGCCTTGGGTGGTCTCCCTCAGCTTTAGGGCACCTGTGGGGTTATTTTCACATCTTACAGTCATTCTTCTTTCCTAGCTTAGTAATTTTATATGTTAAAATTCTCCCATTTAAGTCACTGTGTGGTTTCTGTCTTCTGACTGAACCCACTAGGATATAATATGCTGACTGTACTCACAGACAGTATTTGCTAACAGTGCACTTTTGTTCCCATTTTTCCTTCCAGTTTAATTATATTATGGTTAAAGAATGTGGTCTATATAATTCTGACTTACTAGAATTTACTAATGTTCTTTTAAAATAACGCATGATAAAACTGAAGGAACAAAACAGCAGCAGACTCACAGACTCCGAGATGGGACTTAGTAGTTCCCAAAGGTGAGTTGTTGGGGAGCGTGGGTGGGGTGGGAGAGAGAAGGGGACTAAGGGGCACTGTGATTAGCAGTCACAATATAGGTAGGTCACGGGGAAGGCAGGACAGCACAGAGAAGACAATGAATGACCCTATAACAACTTATTACACTGACAGACAGTGACTATAATAGATGGGGTGAGGGCTTGATAATATGGGTGAATGTTGAAATCACAGTGTTGTTTATGTGAAACCATCATAAGATTATATATCAATGATATTTTTAAAAAAAAAGATGTTTCTGGAAAACTGAAAATATGTAGTCTCTATTTTCAGGACACAGAGATGGATATATCTCTATTAGTTCAATCTTATTAAAGTTTTCATAAACTTTATACAGGGGTCAACAAACTTCCTATAAAGAGCAAGATACTAAATAACATAGGCTTGTGGACTTAATAGTCTCTGTGGTAACTCCTCAACTGTATTGTTGAGGTGGAAATATGTAAATGATAGTCAATACATAAACACATTATCTGTGTGGCTATATTCAATAAGACTTTATTTATAAAAATAGGCAGTAGGACAGTTAGCTCACAGACCATAGTTTATCAATTCTTGCTCCACATCATAATTTTTATGTACTTGATCTGTGAAGCAATGAGAAAAATCTGTTAAATCTCTCAATACTAGTATGTTTTTTAGATTCTGGCCTGTATGTTTTCAGTCTTTCTCTCTTTATACAGTTCTATGCTCTGATGTTTGACAGAAAACAGTTCATAGTTATATATTTCTGTGGATTTTATTCCTCATCATTGTAGAATCCTCTTTTTTCTTAAAGGGGTGTGTGTGTGTTTGTGCAATAAAACTTGTATTTGATACAGGAAAATTTAGAAAGAAAATTTATTTTATAAGACAACACAATTATAAGACAAGACAATGGGTAAATTTAATAATAAATCCAATTAGAGTAAATTCATTTATTAAAAGAAAACAAATCTCAATGCAGCAAACACCCAAACCTTCTATGATACATATATATGACACACAATGTTCTAGAATTTTTACTTACAATAGATTCTTCATCTGCCTTTTGTAAGCTATTTTCAAAATACTTGAAATTTTTTTAAAATCTTATTTACTGTAAATATTATTATCTTACTTACATATATATTGCCTATAAAAGAGCATGTGGATTGTGTCAATCTTTTCTCTGTTTACTGGGCCTCATCTGCTTTCTGCCTTTCGCCTGTGAGGGCTCACCCCTTGTATTCTGAGCTAGAGCAGCAGGTTAACGTTCCTACCTTTCCTGTAACTCCATGCCAAGTTCTACAACAAGAATTCTTCCACTCTGTCAGAGGCGTGTCTAGTTCTCTGGAGTTTTGTGTCGTTCCTTCACTTCATTGTGAGCTGACTGCCACGTTTCTTAACTGCTCCATTCCACATACACCATTATTTAATATAACACAGTATTGACTGATTTTTTCCCCATTTTTCTTCCTCACTCACTTGAATCAAACCTTTATTTGAATATAATTAAGTCTATAGAATTATTCATCCACACTGCATTTACCTTCCTTCGAGCCATAGGGCAGGAACCGATAAACCCCAGCCGCCCTGAGAGAACTGAAGCTGCCTACCTCTGTGAAGGGTGTCGGCCACAAGGGCCTCGGGTTACCTAGAAGCCCTGTCCTTGGACCCCCAGATGTGAGAGGCTGGCAGGAGGCTGCTGGAATTTTGTCAGCTAACCTCTGACTGACAGCACTGTCCAAGGATGGGAGTCATGGGTACATATCTGGGTCCTCTGTAAGTTTGGTTAGAACTGTTGAGGTGGTTCAGACTGCACAGTCTCTGCTGGGCTCTTCTCATACATTCAGTGGTCTTATCAGTCTTACCTGTTTTCATTTAATTTCACTTATTTCATTCTACTTATGAAAGCAGATGGAGATGCAGGGGGATTTAGTCTAGGTGTGTGTCTGTGCTTCTGAACGTCTGGAGTGTCCTATGTGTTATGTACAGCTCTAAAATATCTTTTTGAAAAACAACTGATCTCATAATGGATTTCTTCTTCCTTTTTTGAACTTATTTCTTGAGTTTTTTACCTCAGATTCATTAAGACTGCCTTATTTAAAGATCCACTTGAATGATAAGCCACCTGGCTTTAAAATAAAGTTGAAATTTAGTGTTTCTTGCCAAATAATCTTCAGAAATTTCTTTTGGTTCTAGCTTTGAAAGGAATTAAAATAGCACAGCAACTCAAGACATCATGAAATTCAAATAAATTACTTCAACCTCAGCAATGTTCTGACAGACACACAAACAGGTGGGCTCTTACCAGCGGGATAAGCAGGCTAATGAGGTCTGTCAGAGGTTTGCTGAGCCTCAGCAGATCTTCTGCGGCCTGAGTGTCCCCACCGGAGCCAGACTTCTGAGCCTTTGGACAGAGTAAAGAGAGAAGCAGCAAGCCTTAGAGATTTGTCAACTCAGCGGCAGGAAAGAGGTCCTCTCAGGCTAGCAGATGAAGGGGGCTGAGGGAGCATTCCGCCTGGTCCCTTGAAGAATAGTTATGTTTTGCTACAAAATGACAAAGAGTGCACATACTGCCATTGCGCTAGCTCAGAGGCAGACCTGGACTGACCAGAGATAAAGCAGTAACAAGGGCCGTCCCTGGAGGACTGAGGTTGACGTTCACGCACCGTGGAGGGCACTTTTTCCTGATTAACCTGAGACTAGGTGCTGCTGGCCCCGTTTTTCAGGCAAGAAAACCAAAATTCAGAGAAGCAATTTGTCTAAAGTCCTACAGATAAAGGGTGATGAAACCAGAGGGTAAATCCAGGCTATGAGACTCCAAACCACACATGGTCATCTCTCTGGGGCATTTTTATGCACATTATATGATGCACACAAATGTATTCTGCTGTATTTTCTCTACATGCATACACATGCTCAAGTAACATCTAGAATGTCTGTGCAATATACTACCACATGAACAGTCTCACACATGAGTCTCTATTGTTTAGGAAGTATGGGCTTAAACTGCAATAGGAAAAGGAAATGAGAAGTGAGTGCCTTTACTTTTAAGTACATTTTCTTCCAGGAATTGTACAGAGCTATCTAATTCCGGAGATTTCTATCATAGAGATGAATAATTTATATTGAAAAATAATTTCAATTTTATATTGACAGGTAATGATTATGTATTGTGTTTGCTATACTATATACACATCTCATTCACATATTTCCTCTCTGTTTTTGATTTCACTCAGAAGAGACAAAACTACTTTAAGATAATGACCTTTGCCAGAGCCCTCAGAGTAGGCTGCAGACTGCCCTATCCTGGGTTGTTGACCTGCACTCCAGGACCTTTCTTATGAAGGCCAAGCTTCCTTCTGCACTTCATGCTCATGGACAGAATTTTAGTTGCATGCTTTTTATAGTTCAGAGGAACTTGAGTGAAAATCAGACAACTGTCTTTTAACAACTTGCAGCTTGCGCCAATAGCCAAGGGGAACAATAGTAAATATTAGCATGGAACTCCCCACTCCCCTCTCCCCTTCCTGTCCTTCCCAGTGGACTTTACCAGGAAGATAGAATTTCCTTCCAGAAAACAAATGTGCAGCACTCTCCTAGAGGTCTGAACCTTTCTGACTCGGGCTGTTGATCCTGCCTTCTGATCACAATGTGAGAGAATACCAGGCTTTTCATATGAACACATTGTCCTGTAGAGTAGATTGGTTCCCTCTTCGGAAAGATAAGGCAGCCTTGCAGACCAGCACCTAAGCAATGAGGGGGCACAGTGCCACTGTTTCCTTTCCAGATGCATGTAAGCAAGCAGATGGGGCCAAAAGAACAAGGACCCATTGTGAGACTTTACCCACCAGGGCACCCAGTGGCCCTCTGCACCCTCCAAAATCTACCAAATCACTTGTTATTGTCACTGAGAAACATCCAGACTCTGGCCACCAGTATTCAGGTGCCACCTCCTTGCAAAGTGGCCCAGGGTTCCAGAAAGGGAAAGCTGCAGCTTTGTGTAACAGGAAGGTGTTCACCAGGGATGCATTAGAAATTCAACTCTACTCATAAAAATATGGGTCCACGTGGAAGCTCTGTGCAATGGATGAAGGGTAAATCCAGAAGCTGACTGGAACATTCAGGGGCCCAGGCCCACCTCTTGTCTCTGTCCCTCTCCAATTCCCCAGTAGTGAACTCCCTTAAGTCAGCCTATTGATTACTAAGTCTGCTACCCTCTGTGTGCATTTTGCAGAGGGCCCATTCCACATCTCTGCCATGACATTGCTACTGGCCTCTTCATCCAGGTCCTCAGCCTTGGCTTCTGGTCCCACCACCCCCTCTCCAAAACCCACCACCCTTGTCACTGCTGAGAAGTCACGTACCCCATGCCCACCCATCCAGTGTGCTCGGTCCACCCAGTTGTTAGTGTCTAACTGGGAGAAGATGGCAGACTGAGCCAGGGTGGCAGCAGTCAGGTCTGAGAGAAGTGGTTGGGTTTGTTGGATATTTAAGGTAAACTCCACATTATCTGGTGACAGATTAGATGAGGAATATGAAAAAGCAGGACACTTCATGGATGGCTTCCCAGATTTCTAGTTTGCAGAGTTAGGATGAGGGTGGCAGGGCTTGCTGGCAGGAGAATGGTTATGGGAGGAGGAAACCGAATTCAGCTTTGGGAACACATCGAATTTGAAGTGAATCATTCAAATTCATTCTGGTCATTCTGAGGAAGCTGCTGGATCTCAGAGTACTCTGGGCAGAATTATAAATTTAATAGTCTTAAACATATAAAACCTGGGAATATCAACTTATGAACCACATTTAATGTTAAATGGCAATATAGCATTATTCAAAATGAAATAAAATAAACAGGTAACTTCTAAAAATTTTTTAAGAAGGTTATTGTAATAGATACAATTCGATTATATCTAGCATTGCTACATGAATCTAGGAGGATTGAAATTAACAAATTCAAGAGGTTAAATAAACACAGAGGTAAGGCATCTGTACAGAACACAAGACAGTGGGTTCTTCAGGCAGTTGTTGTCTGAGGTCACAGAGAGGTGCAGGCACAGCCCAGAGCACAGTGTGCAGTGGTGTGTCCCAGACCCACTCGACACTCTCTATGCTCCCTGAACACCACCATGCATGTGCTTCACGACGCACAGATCATTACACGACTCAGTTCCCACTCTGTAGGACCCCATGGTTTAATTAAAAGGATGGCATGCTTACAAATAACTGCACTAAAGGCAGAGTGTACACGCTGCTATAGCTGTGCAAATAGAGCTTGGGTGGTGGAGGCAAACAAACAGAAGATCTGACTTTATCCCTTAGCTGGTGGGAAGGGGATCCAATACTGATGGGAACAGACAGCCGTATTGCAGGTGCTGAGAACTGCATGAGGAAAGCCTTAGGAGTGATAAGGGTAATATTTGGAAAATATTAAGCCAACTGTTCAGGTGCTGGTTTGCAAGGATGCCTCATCTTTCCCAAGAGGGAACCAATCTACTCTACAGGACAATGTGTTCATATGAAAAGCCTGATATTCTATCTCACATTGTGATCAGAAGGCAGGATCAACAGCCCGAGTCAGAAAGGTTCAGACCTCTAGGAGAGTGCTGCACATTTGTTTTCTGGAAATAAATTCTATCTTCCTGGTAAAGTCTGCTGGGAAGAGCAGGAAGGGGAGAGGGGAGTGGGGAGTTCCATGCTAATATTTACTATTGTTCCCCTTGGCTATTGGCGCAAGCTGCAAGTTGTTAAAAGACAGTTGTCTGGGCCTAGGCAGCATGGAGGACTGGCAGATGGAGCTAGAAAGGCACCCGGGGGCTGGATGGTATTAGGCCTTGAATGTCTCACAAAGAATTTAGAGGATTACATCATAGGTGATGAGATGTCATTAGTGTTTGCAAAAGAAGAGAGAGACATGATGAGGACCGGGCGCTGTGCCAGAAAAATCTCACTTAAGTCTAGAACCAGACAGAGGGCAGCTCGTGCGGGAGAACAGCAAGAGGAAAGCCGAGGACTCAACCTGGAGAGTCCAAGAGATGCTGAAGTAGACACCTCAGCCCCCACCAAGGACAGCTTCTATGTGTGTGTGAGGCCGAGAAGGACAAAGCAGCCACATGTTGGGCTTCTGGCACTACCAATACACCTGCAAATAAACAGCGATTGGATTGCCTGCTATCAGCACAGCGGGAGATTAAGGTCCCCACCACTTCAGAATGACAGACAAGGCTGAGACCGGGAGGGCGGGTGGCCTGGATTTTATACTGAGTGTCTGCCTCCCCTGACCCTGCCCACCTTCACTCTGGAGCTTCCTGTGCCTGTCACATCCTCAAACATGAGACGACAGCTCGCTTTGCTGCTGGCGCACAGCCAGGACCGTGGGCTCCCTGGGAGCCGGCACTCCCTCTCTCCTGATCCCAGCTGAAAGCACAGATGCCGAGCCCTGTTCCAGGATATTAAGTGCAAAACCAAACCATAAAGTACTATCTCCTCAGCCTTCCAGGAGTCAGTTCAGTCAGGATATATGAACTGAGTGCCCTCCTGTGCACAAGACACAGAAATGAGGACGTCAGGGTCCATAGGAAGCCATCCGTAAAAAGGAACGTGAGGTGAGCACCTTTCTTGTTGCTGTTAATGACACAGCAATAGCTTGCTTGCCTGGGCAAGGGATATATAAGGCAGTTCGTATTTATATATATTCACATATATCTTATTCTGTCATTTAAGTCCCACAGCAACACTGTGGAGTGGCTATTATCACCTCTCCTTGACAGTGAGGAAAATATGAAGTTAGGTAAAGTAACCTGCCTGGGCATACAGGTGGAACGTGGATTTGGCTGAGATTTGAATCCAAGGCATTTTGGCCACTGAGGCCCCCAGGTCCCCATGACATCAGTGAGCCTTGAGTATGTATTTGTCTCTGCTTCCACATCTTTCACACACAACCCTCAGGTTGAAGCAGGACCAGTTCCAAACCACAAAGCACACTGGGGAGGGACTGAACTCCTGACAGTCTAACACCTGCCTCCCTAGTACACATTCCTGCATCGTATCACTTTCCTCTGTGACAAAGAAAAGTGTCTCATAAGTCTAAACATTTTATCATTTTAAACACTGGCAACCTTCAATTCTTGTACTTTATGGAAGTTCCTGTTAGCAGTAGACACAGGTTTTGAAAGCAAAAGAATCACCAGTGTGGAGCATGTTTATAAACGAAAGAGGTGACTTATGGTTTGGAAAGTACTAACAGCTCAGTGTCTAGGAGAACGTACCCTTGATGCACACTCCATTTCTCATCCCAGGCCTTTCCCCTAATTCAGTTTCAAGGACTCTACCTTTTTCAGATAGGCACCAAGTATCATGGAGATTAAAGTCAGCAGTCAAGGCCAAATGCAATACATGACATATATTAGTAGGGGAGGACTGAGAAAGGTGACAGCAATAAAAAACACAGTGGTGCTAAAGAAAAAGAAAAACCAGGGATCTCTTGCTACACTAGCAAATTGAGAAAAGAGAATTAGAAAGTATTGTTTATTAAGGAATTTTCTTTTAAATACCCTTAGATATCTACTTAATCACTTGTAATAAAAGAAGATTTCTATTGTTCTGGAATTTTCAAACTTCTGATCCTTCTAATCTACAATCTACACAACTTAATCTTTTGCAGATTGTTATCATCAAAGCATCATGTGAGAATAACTGTCGACTGCATCTTGAAGAATTACATAAACTACCTCTATGGAAACTGAGATAAGCAACAGTGTTCTCCAAAGAGACATTGAAAAAGAGAGGAAAATGTAAGAGAAATTCATAATTCAGGATTCTGTAAGTATTAACAATGCTTTACAGATTATTTAGAAGAATTATAGATGAGCAAACAGAAACAACTAGGTAGTTCAAGGCCATTTTCACCTACTGCCTTTACAAGTTTGGGTTAAATACTTACTCTTGTGTTTGCTGAGGGGATCCCAATTATTATTAAACCACACTATACAAGCTACATAGCTGACCAGCTTAACTGTGGTTAGAAAATACTATTTATCATAATGATGAATAACAGAGACTAAACCAGTGTCTAGAGATTCATTATTGGCTCTTGCTACTATGACTTTTGACACAGTATCAAAACAGTTTGATTTCAACTTCAGTTTCTGCATCTATCCAAGTCAGGATGCTACCATTTAATATAAAGCTCTTGCAATTTTACTAGGATTCTAAACATAACAATGAATTCATATTGGCTGACCTAAGTATCAGGTGACACAGTTGGTCAGAGAGAACAGTAAATAAAATAGAAATATGGAAGTGCCTAACGCCTAAGAGGGAAAGTTCTCAATAAACCCATCTCCACGTCCTTTCTTAGAGCATGGTGTTAAGTATATTCAGGGTACAGTTTGGGGAAAACTGACTTTTCCATAGTCACTGAACATACTTCTAGTCCTCAAAACTATCTTGCAATTCCATGTTGCTGGTCATAAGGAAATACAAGTAAGAGGTTTATGTATTGCATATGTATGTGTGATGAGTGTGTGCATATCTGTGTATAAAAGTCTCTGAGCATGTGTGGGCTGTGTGGGCTGTGTGTGTGTGTGTGTGTGTGTGCGTGCATGCCTAGAAGGCCAATCTATTCTTCCTAGCAACCTAATCCATCTTGTTGAGGGTGGCTGCAGCACCATCTCTGGACAGGAAAGACTGCACAGGGCTTAGCCCACCTTAGGGCGCTGGCAGGGCACATGATCTTCTGCGTGAGGAACATTTTCACAACTAGCACTCAGAAAGTCTTCACTTATGCCTCCCCTGCTTTCCTTTCAGATTTTATAACCAAATTATCTGTTTTTGACCGTGGGCACCGAAAGATGGTTTATTTGGTAGTCTCTCCATGTAAAATCATGTATCCTTTTTCAAAAATCCTAGAAGATTGGAAAGAAGAGAATGAAAGGAAAGTGTGACATGGTATAGGCTGTTCAAGACCAAGGAAAAGTGGTCCTCTACCTGCAAAGCCAGCCGTACAACACTGGATGTATAGGTCAGCATGCCATGCAAAATATCAAGCAGGGAAAATAGCAATGCAGCTGGTGTCTCATCGTTGTTTTTATTGCTCACATCCAAGCACAGTGTGGCAGTTTCAGTGAACAGGTTGCAGACATGACAGACCAGTCCTGAGAGCAAAAAGAAGGGTATAATATTTATCATAAATTACAAAAATAACATCATATAAACCCAAAAGAAGAGGCATATGTATTCTATGATGCATTAACTCTAAGCATTCCTTCAACTGTAATCTTGTACGAGACATACTTGGAAAAGTTTTTTAAAATGCAGATTTCCAGGCCCAACTCCCAGAAAGTGGAAAGGGGCACAGGATTACACCTGTTACACAGGGTGATTTTGATGAAAGGGTTCCCCAAATTAAACTTTGAAAAATATTATCCTATATGAACAGGCATCACAGGGACAGAGGGCTCCTGACACTGGAAGAAAAGTATTGTATATGGACACACTGCCCCCAGGTTCTCTGAAGAAGACCTTCAAGTGAACCCAAGGGCCTATCAAGGATCCATAAGTAATTGGGTCATTTCAAGAGGAAAAAGCAATGAATCAATTTTTTCTGCATGTATTTCAAAAAATTTGGCATGTAAGATTATTATTTTAACAAATTTGAAATTTTAAAATTGCCAAATTCTATCATTTTTGTCTCTATAAACCTCATATTAACAGTGCAGTTGTTCTTCATTAATCTTTAGTTTGATATAGTCACAACAAATATATTTTCACATTTTGGAAGCATTACTATTTATATTTAACTTGGAATTTTATTGTTACTACTGTGCAGCATTACACTATGAATTCGCAAAAATGGTCAAGAAGTAAATGTGGTGAAAACACAACATGAAATGTTGTAAACCTAAATGGTGAAGAGGACCTATGGCATTGGTACATTATCTGAATGTTCTAGAAAAAGTGAGTCTTCAAATATAAATATTTTACATAAATGAGGGAAAAAGCATGGTAAGGATGTATATGGTAATAACATGTATTTTTAAGCTGTATTTTACTGGACCTGCAATCCATTTGTCCTTATTTCTCACATAATCAATTGGATGGAAAATCTGCCAAGCACAGGCTTTCAACAATGCACACTGTCATTTCCAGTAAACCAATCTAGTCTTCCTAGACAATTGCAAAGTAATTTTTAGACTACCAAAATAATTAAATTTGTCACTAAGGTCAGGGAGAAACCAAAATTATGGAGACATCATTCAAAGTTACACTCCTTGTGGCAAAAACTGATAGACGTCACAAAGCAGAAGACAAATATATTTGAAGGAAAAGTAAAATAAATTATTGGCAAAATTCCATTATCAAATGACAATGTTTGATAGCACATATCATCTATAACATATAATAAAGAAAAGTAATTATTGTGACATGTGTATTACACCAGCAGGCATTCTCCTTTGAGTTAGAATGCATCGCTCATGTACATGCTGTGAATCAGCACTTGGCATTCCTGAGCTGTAAACAGGGTAGAAGAGCTTTAAAACATAATATTTGGTAAGCAAATGCTGCAAGAGAAGGTATTTTCCTTTTGGGGATTCATGATTACTTTATGATATATCGTGTAGATGGCAAAGATGTCCAGGGTGAGTACTAGTGAAGTACACTAGCTATGTGAACAGCAGAGAAGGATGTGGAAATCAACCTCAGGTGAATCACTGATCTTAACATAAAATCTAAAATTATAAAGGATCTAGAGGAAAATGTAGGAGAAGACTTTTGCAACTAAAAGACAGGAAAGATTTCTGATGTCTCAAAAAGTACTGATCATTAAAAAAATGGATAAATTAGACTTCATCAAAAATGGAAATAGCTGCATAAAGTCATTCTTTTTCTCTAAAAGATGTATACTTCTTGTCTTTGTATGCTGAGTCAATGACACTGTAACAATGAGCATATCTAGAATGACTTCATGCACATTATTTCCAGGTCCAGAGGGCAGAAAAGGACCTCTACTTACTGATCAAATGAACTATAAGAAAATTCTTTAGAAAAAAGAAATTCAGCAAAAGGGGAAAGAAAAACTGAGTATCCATATTGAGTAAAAAAGAATCCATGACCAATACATTACATGATATGCAAAATTAATTTCAGATGAATCAGAAATCTGCACATAAAAGCTAAAACTATAAAGGTTCAAGAGGAAATGTAGAAGAAGACTGTTGCAAGTAGGAGGCAGGCAAGATATCTGATTTTCAAAAAGTACTAATTATTTTTAAATGGATAAATTAAGACTTCTTCAAAAATGAAAAGTTTCACAAATCAAAAGACACCATTAAGAAAATAAATAGGCAGGCAAAGTAATCAGAAAGAGGAGCAAAGTTGGAGGTATTACAATCCCTGATGTCCAACTATACTACACATCTACAGTAATCAAAACAGTCTGGTACTGGTATAAGAACAGACCCATAGATCAATGGAACAGAACAGAGAGCCCAGTTATAAACCCAAACATATATGGTCAATTAATGTATGAAAAAGTAGTCATGGATACACAGTGGGCAAATAACAGCCTCTTCAACAGCTAGTGTTGGCAGAACTGGACAGCTACATGCAAGAGAAAGAAACTGGATTATTGTCTAACCCCATATACAAAAGTAAACTCAAAATGGATCAAAGACCTGAATATAAATCATGAAACTATAAAACTCTTAGAAGACAGCATAGGCAAAACTCTCCTGAATATAAACATGAGAAACTTCTTACTGAACACATCTCCTCAGGCAAGGAAAACAAAAGCAAAAATGAACAAATGGGACTACATCAAACTAAAAAGCTTCTGTACAACAAAGGACACCATCAGCAGAACAAAAGGAACCCTACAGTATGGGAGAATATATTAGTAAATGACATATCCAACAAGGGACTAACATACAAAATATATAAAGAACTCACATGCCTCAACACTCAAAAAACAAATAACCCTATTACAAAATGGGCAGAGGATATGAACAGACATTTCTCCAAAGAAGAAATTCAGATGGGCAACAGGCACATGAAAAGATGCTCCCTCCACAGTACTATCAGCGAAATGCAAATTAAAACTTCAATGAAATATCACCTGTGGGTAAAATTGTACTATTCCCAGAATATCTTGCCTGGCTTTAGTTCATCTGCATATCAACAGGCATTCCTCAGGGGGTGGAGAGCAGTAGTTCATCTCCATATCCATAGGTAATTAACTGCAAAACCAAGGGATTATCTGAACCTGAGAGGTTAGGGGGAGGGCTGGTTTGTTTCTGCCAGAGCAGGAAAGAGATGGTCCTGGACTATATTTTATAAGCAATAAACGGGTTTTAAACTTTATTTCTACCTTTGACTGATTTCGGTTTTAGAGGTATTTTGCTCCAGGATTTCCTCTCACCAGAGGTACATTATTTCACACCAGTTTGGATGGCCAACATTCAAAAGACAAGAAACAACAAATGCTGGTGACAGTGTGAAGAAAGGGGAACCCTCCTACATTGTTGGTAGGAATGTAATTTAGTTCAACCATTGTGGAAAGGAATATGGAGTTTCCTCAAAAAACTAAACATAGAAATACCATTTGACCCAAGAATTCCACTCCTAGGAATTTACCCAAAGAAAACAAGATCCTTGATTCAGAAAGGCATATGCACCACTATATTTACTGCAGCACTATTTACAATAGCCAAGTTATGGAAGCAACCTAAGTGTCCATCAGTAGAAGAATGGATAAAGAAGATGCTTTACATATACACAATAGAATATTATACGGCCATAAGAAGAAAAATAAATTCTACCATTTGCAACAACATGCATAGAGCTAGAGAGTATTACACTCAGTGAAATAATCCAGGTATCCAGGTGGAGCAAGCAAGGAGCAAATGATTTCCCTCATTTGTGGAGTATAAGAACAAAGCAAACTTAAGGAACAAAACAGCAGCAGACTTACAGACTCCAAGAAGGGAGTAGCAGTTACCACAGGGAAGGGGCTGGGGAGGATGGCAGCATAATTAGCAGTCACAATATAGGTAGGTCATGAAGAAGGCAGTATAGCAAGGAGAAGACAAGTAATGACCCTATAACACCTTACAACACTGATGGAAGTGGCTGCAATGGGATGTGCAGGGGGACTTGATACTATGGGTGAATGTCAAAACCACAATGTTGCTTATGTGAAATCTTCATAAAATTGTATATCAATGATACCTTAATTTTTTAAAATTGCCCCAAACTAGAAATAGCCCAGGTGTCTATCATTAGAATGAACAAATCAAGATACATTCATATAATGGACTACTCTGCAATAAAAAGGATTGAGGTACTAAATCCCATAATAGAGATATCTCAAAAAGAATGCTGAGAGATAGACTCCAGAAATCAGAGGTGTATAAACTCAATTGTATGAATACATTTATATAAACTTCTACAGAAAATTTGTCTATGATGATTGAGATCACAACAGCAATTAATTCCAGGGTAGGGCCAGGATGGAACCTTCTTAATGATAGAAATGTTGTGTATACTGAAGGGGTATTGAGGATAGAAGTTGATTTCTCAAAATGGACCAAACTGCATATATAAGATTTGTAGGAGAAAGAAAAGATGGCGGCATGAGAAGTGATGCAGAAATCTCCTCCCAAAACCAAATATATTTTGAAAATACAGCAAATACAACTATTACTAAAAGAGAGACCAGAAGTAACAGTACACCAACCACTCTACATCTGCAAGAAGTCAACATCTGATGAAAAAGGGTCAAGTACAAAGCCACAACCAGGTGGGACCTGAGCACTCTCCCCATGCCAGCACAATGGCAGGAGGAAGAGAATCAGAGTGGTGAGGGAGTGGAAGCACAGAACTGCTAAATACCCTGCAGTAGAAATCAACTCCGGGAGCACAGACCACCACTGCATGGTGAGCTGGAGATTAGAGGGGCTGAAAACTAAAGTCAGAGACTAAGACTGCAAACAGGTTCCCACAGTCGGCTGCCCCAGGACAGAAGAAAAGCAGGTGCTTTAAAAGTCGCAAAGGGGCAAGGGTTTAACAGGGGGACAAAATCGTCATTGCAAACACAGCCCAGCAGGTTGGGAACTTTCAGGAGGTTCAGGTACCCTATTTCCCTGGTTGACAATGC